GTAATGATACTTGATCGACATAAGTTGGTTTTTTTTTTATCACGTGATCGATGAACGTGACTGTGTCTAACAACAACATCCCATACGAATGGAAAGTCAAAGTTCGAGACTACGTATTCGTGATATCACGGGCAAGTTCTCTTGCAAAGCGGCGTGCAAAGTGTCACGGATACTTTATGCGTACGAGTTGGGCCAACTTATTTTTCCGACGATCGTACGATGATCGTGCAATTCTGCTCCTCTTCGTGCAACTTTCAGCAAGGTTCGTGCAACGAAATACCACGCGTTTAGCAACGTCAGCGCAAGGCGATTAGCTATCAGGAACAGGTTAACCGATGACATTCTGCGAGAAGAGGAAGTTTTGCCGTCGTTGGCGCGGTGTAAAAATGGCTTGCATGTCGGGAAACGTGAGTGCCAGGTAGTGCCGAGGCACGCGTCAGTCGACAAGGACGGGGCTCTTCTTAATTATGCTACCTGGCTCCGCACAAGACACAACATGCGAGCCGCGGTCGACGATTCCGAACCCTAGCGCCGGGACACACGATGAACTTGCAGAAGAATCCTGTTCGTGACAGGGCTTCCACGAATCGTTCGTTCGCCTGGCTAGACGCGATTAATATTCCTTGGACGACAGAAACGTCATTGTCTCCGCGGGCTGGACGAGAAAATGTTGTATTACGCGAACGCCGTGTTCCCATTTAATTTGTAAAACGCGATGTTATGCGGTTTGTAGTCAGGGGTAGGGAAATATATGTGAAAATTAACTCGAAACTTGACACGTTTCAAAATTGGCGGTACTTCTAGCCATAAGGTTTCTACGTTACGCCATATGACGTTAACCAACTGATATAATTTGTCTAATCTACATGTCAACATTTGCCAAATAATAGTATTGCAATTATCTTTGTAACTTAATGCAATGTTCGCTGTTATCATCGTCGTCAGATAATATGATAAGGAGAATCAAAATTCCAGAAACATTTCTATCAAATCGTAATCAAGAGTTAGGCGGTTCTCAAGCGGTTCTCTTTGACGATCGATTCTGCATCTCGTTACGTCGATACGATAAACTTTATGCCTCGATTGGTTTCTTTTATAATCACATGTTTGAAAAAAAAGAGAGAAACGTCATTAACTGCGAAAATGTTTTCCATGCGTGTGTAGGAAACAATTCGACGTCGTTTGGAACATGAAACCGAGGATGAGGCTTAGGAGTCTATTCACGGCTACCAATCATACTCGTCGATTCGCAAAAGTCACGCAGCTGGCAGTGCCGTCGCAGTTCCGTCATTTTTATTGCATCGACTGGCAAACTCTCCGATTAACTCTAAAGGGGAAGGATAGGGACTATTTCGCTTTTAAAGTAATTTCTGAAGCTTCGCGTTCGACAAACAGGTTTATCGCCGCAATGACGAGGCAGTTCCGTTTAAGGTTCGCAGATAATAACGCAAAAGAGAAGGAGTTCTGTATAGTTTCATCGAAATATTGTGCCAGTTTCGATAACGAGAATAAAAGCACGCAAACAAATAGTCTTCCAATTGCGTCAACGAATTTGAGAGATACCGAGAGATGGATTAAAGAGCTCAACAGTTTGCGTATATTTAAGATAAGTAAGGTGTTTAGTTTTCACTGTTCCTTATCGTTCGGATAAAAATATTATAAAACTCCAACTATTGCTCTTCTTGGAAAACCTGTTGTTTTCTGGTTCGAAAATTGTAGAAAAATATTCGATTCCGGTTAGCGTGGGCGGAACGTATGCGTCCCGCGTGTGTGGACGCGCTTCACGGTAAGTACACGTGTGCCCATGCAATTTCTTCGACGAGATGGGAAAGATCGATGGCACCTTGGCAAACCAGAGGCTTGCGCGACCGTGCAAGACGAACCCGACCATCCGTCGCGTATCTGTCGCGGAATCCGGCCAGTTGTCTAGCGACGCTCCCGTGCACAAAGAGACCGCGATCGCATCAGCTTGAGTTCACAGGTAAATGTTTGTCTTCTGAGAATTCGTTTCATTCGCTCGCTCGAGCATGCATACGCGAGTACCGCTTGCCAGAGCAAGTCGTGCTGATTGATACACAGCTTCAGATTCCTACCTACCTATCTCTCGCGTTTCCCTACTCCTCGAACCACGAACTTTTCGAGATTCCTCCACTAGCAAAAGAATAATTAAACCGAAGGAAGATATATAGATGGCAGATAGTCGTTTTACAATCAAAATACACGTATTGGCAGTTTTAACGCTCGCTCAGGGAGTTAATGGTCCATTTCCTGGTCATTAGGTTTTACTTACAAGAGGTCTTTTTATCGACGTCGGAAGAAAATCGTGGACAACCGATGGAAACTCGCGGCTACGGTCGTTCGCAGAATCCAATTTTGGCGTTCCCGCGTGAAAAGCTGTTCCGAACGGTCTTTTTACCTAACTTGGAGGAAATTGAATTCCTCGCGCGATAGTTCGGAGCAGGCAATTATCGGTGATTTAGCGGGAGAACAGTATCCCCATGGGGGTGGGAGGCTGGTTAAGAAACTTGACAAAGCCGGACGCAGAAAATCGTTTCGCTTCGCGTTACGTTACGACAGGCCACCGTGGGATTTCACTTTCCTGCACGGCGTTCGAGAAGGGAAATCGCTGGTCTGCGGCCTCGTCGACGGGAGGAAGAGACGCGCCGCGGAAAATACCGACGGCGAAAAAGAGACGCGGATACGCGTTTTTTCATCTATCACGGTCCGCTAACCGCGTCGAGACGCACTCTTACTTTCGAGCAAATTTCACCCGTTTAACCGAAAACGGTTTCGTGTCGCCATCTATTTAAATTGACCATGATCTATCGAAATCAATTTTCGCGATTCAACGTTTAATCGTAATTGTAACAAGTCAAAACGAAAGAATAAAACTTTGTTCGAAAAGTTACTTGGTTCTGGCACTACTGATATAATAGGTTTGTTTGCGCTAAACAGCACGACTCACTGTGCAATGTTTACCTCCTATTTTAGTTTTTCAAATCTATGAACGATATCGTTATCGTATCTACGGTACGTTTCATTGTTTAACAAACAATAGATTAACGAAAAATAAACTGATAGGAATACGCAACACGAGTGATTTGTATACTTTTGGTTGAAATGTATTTTTATTATCGTGTCTATACACGCGGAAGTCAAATAATGACGAATGCTCAATATGTCTTTACACGATCCTTGATCGAAGATTACCTCAAGCAAGTTACGACATCGTGTCGATGATTCAGCGAACCACTCGACCACTTTTATCTAATAAAGAAGTTGATATAAAAAAAATTGAGATCACTTCCACAAGCTTTTAATTACGAAAGAGCGCATAGACAGTGAGAACTCATCTCTGAATGAAAAAGCTTATACATATACGTAACTAAATCAATGTTCTCGAACTTTTCAATTATATTATTGTAGCACGGTTTATCGATTAAGAAATACGCACATTTTTTTAATAAAATGACCAAAGTAATATTAGTATTTTAAATACAGTCTTTACGTCGACATAAAAAATATATACATTGACTATTATCTAATAGTTAATCGCTGTATGTACTTTCAGATAGGAGCACTAAAATTGATGTTAATGGAAGTTAATGGAGGTTATTATTGAACCGAGACTCGAAACGTTCTAACAGCGATAAAATAACAAAACTATATTTAAGTAGTGGAAACGACACATCGTTTCGAAGAAGAAAGCCACCTGCATACGTCCTTTTATGTATAAAGAGTGAATATTATCTACATATGTATATGCAATTCGAGTTTCTATAATCCTACCCACCTTTGGTTCTAATTGAACAAGCTCATTCTTATCTACCACTATGAAGTTCATCGTTGCGACTAGGCTCGAAATCGTGTGTGTTCCGTGTATCGTGAAGCAACTGCAGTGCGCCAGGAGCCCAGTGATCGTTCCGACGCCATCGTACGCAATCATCAAGTTACGTATCGACCGTTATGGCTCGAACTGCATAAACGCGGACACGAAATCGTACTCATCACCAGTCATCCCATCTCCAACTTGAACCTGACGAACTTGGTTCGGATCGTTGCATTGGAATCATATGACATTACCAAACGAATCGATTTCATCCGAGGACGATTCAAACAAACCGCCTATTCAAAATTTATGGTGTCGTATGCGTGTCCAGTGTCTGTAGGTGTGCAGAACGATTACTCAACCGTTACACATTGTAATCTATGAGGAGAAATCTTTTAAAAAATTGCAAACTAATATCTTCTCAATCCTTATCGTGTTTCGATATCGCGAACGAGAATAGAGTAAACAGATTGTCGTCCTAGTGATACTCGACATATTATTGTCATTCTAGTGCACAAAATTAATAACATCGAACATTATATGTATAATAAAGAGTGTCAGGGAAACAGGAAGGAAGCAACATCGCTTAAAGTAAGATTCGAGCAACTCGTAATCAGCTATTCCATTCAAGAATGTTCCTTCGCTTGCCTTCGTTCAACTGCCACAACTTTGGCTTTGATTTCTTCGAACGGACATTTCCCGAGAGTAATGTCCCTCGATTGAACTTGTTCAATTGTATCCACTTCATTTACTATTGAAGTTGAACGATTCTATGGAAACAATTGTCCCGTGTGATCAATTCAATATTCCCCACAATCGTTCTCCAATAAATTATCCATAACGCGTCTTAAAGTCGCAATCGATATCTTTCATTGTGCAATTGCCAAATATATCATTCAACTAGAAATTGATAACCGATGCCAACTCTTTATCATTGTTTGATTATTTTTTATGGTAATGACGAAAATTAGCACCATGTTACTCCTTTTGTCGTAATCGATGCCCCTATCTCGTAAAATTTTGAAAAGCAATCTACCTCCAACCATATTATCTCCAGTTTTTACGTACCTGAGACTCACGGCGTATCAGAGTAATATCTATCGCGCGTGTTGCATCTATGGATATCCTGATTATCCATCGTGACTTGGCGCTAACGTTTATAATTGGTAGTGACACCAGTAATGTACGCTCTTGACGTTCACCTTGCGTAAAGTTAAAGCAACGTCGAGATCTAACATTTAGTAGTCTCATAACCGGCTACGACAACAGTTCATCCACGGCAGCCAACATGAGATTCACCGTCTCGATCATACTCTCGATCGTGTGTGTTCTCTGCGTTGTGAAGCAACTGCAGTGCGCCAGGATACTTGCTATCGTTCCAACGCCTTCGTACAGTCACCAAATTCCGTTTCGTGCATTATGGCTCGAACTGAACAAACGCGGTCACGAGATAGTGTTCGTCAGTCCGATTCCCATCCCGAACTTGAATCTGACGAACTTTACTCAGATCGACGTCGGGGAAACGTTCAGATCAAGGGAGAAGATCGATTTCATCAAGTTGCGGTTCGAGCAGCAGTCCTGGAACACCTATCTAGAGGATTATCTTCTCGATGTGATTGACATGATTACAGAAAACGTGTTCAATAATACGGAAATGCAAAAACTGTACGCGCCCAATAATAGCGGCGCGAAATTTGACGTGGTCTTTGTCGAGTTACTCTACACGTCAGCTCTAAATGCCTTTGCTCACAGATTCGACGCACCGTTAATAGGTATTCAATAATACGTACTATATCGACGCTTCATCCTTTTCATAGAAAATTATGCAGAGTAATCCATGAATCGATTGTCACGATACTTGACCAGATCCTAATATGTATTTTAATCTAAATTTTTCACGAACTAACGCAGCAATTTAACGAATTGTTAGTCGTTGCATGTCTTTCGGTTGTAAAACTAAAATAACATTTGTTTCTGTTGGACAATTCGTACGAAATCCAAATATCTTGCTTATTATACCTTGCCCTGTCGACCAAGTGACTCCAAGTGTGTCAGCTGTTTCTTGCACGGTCAATTTTGAATCCAACTCAACCAGTGGCATTAAAATGTCATCGAATTTAGTAGGTCAGCCACTCCTAACGCTATTAAATCTGCCACACGATATACAATAACAACATAACACGTATTCTACAAATAAACCCGATAAAAGTTAACTAGAAATGACAACGAAATTTAAACAAAAGTTACACATTTAGTGATTGTCTTGGAAAAAGTCGAGAAAAGAGAATATGATCGAATAGATACTTGGTTTAAAATTGTTATAAAAATCATTCCATGTAACCTCAGAATTTTAGACTGCAGTACCATTATGATCAATCACGCGTGCTTCGTATGATCATAGGAGTCACCTCGCTAGGAGTTACTGCATTTAACGAGTATGTTCTTGGCGGGCTCGTTATACCATCGCACGATAATACGTGGGAAATGGAAGCGAGAATAGGATCAAACTTGTCATTCTGGAAGAGACTGGAAAATTACCTGGTTCTATGGCGTCACATATACCTCTACTATCACAACTTTGCTCCTCGTCAACAGAAATTGGCTGAAAAATACTTAGGAACGGATATACCATCGGTACTCGACATACAGAAAAATACAAGCGTTCTCTTTGTCAATCAAGCCAATGTTATTGCATCGGCTCGGCCGAGGCTCGCGAACATGATTACGTTCAGTTCGATCCACGTGGATAAAAACCCAAAATCCCTGCCAAAGGTAATTTTCACCGGATGCTGATCAAGACAAACGTATTCGTAGCTTTTATGAGTACTAGAGTACTATATATTTCATTATTTAGCAGCTAGGAATTTAATCACTATTACCAGTTTCGTAATTGCAGGATTTAAAGCGTTTCGTGGACGAGGCTACGGAAGGATTCGTCTATTTCAGCCTCGGTAGCAACGCGATGAGCTCAGATATGCCAAGAGAAACTCTTCAGGTTTTCCTGGATGTATTTGCCAAGTTGCCTTACAAAGTCGTGTGGAAATTCGAAAAGGAATTGCCGGAGAAGCCGGACAACGTCTTCATCGGACCTTGGTTCCCGCAACAGAGCATCCTCGGTACGATCGAACGATTTCTCGATCGTCTTCGTGTCGAACGAAAATTATAAACTGCTTGTAATTCGCTAAACTTTTTGATTTACAGCACACCCGAACATCAAGATGTTCATATACCAGGGAGGTCTACAAAGTTCCGAGGAGGCAGTACATTTCACGGTACCCCTTTTAGGACTTCCGGTGTTGGCGGATCAGGACTATCAAGTGCGCAGAATGGAAGCACTCGGGGTCGGCAAGGTTTTAGAAATCACGACTATACAGAGAGACGAGTTGGAAAGTGCCATTCTAGAGGTCATAACTGATAAAAAGTAGGTGTATGCATACTGTAATGCCAGTTTTCAAGTGACAATTTTTTTAACGATAGATAAAAATATCACAAAGCAAAGTTTTTAGACGTTACTTTAGGCGATAATGATAAAATTTGCCTGCTTGCCACGACTTTTATTTGCGATTGTTTCAGATATAAAGAAAACATGATTAAACTTAGGAGTATGATGAATGATAACCCCTACGATTTAATAAAACATCTTGCTTGGTGGACGGAATACGTGATTCGTTACAAAGGAACGCCACATCTTTATTCTAACTTGGCTCACCAACCATGGTACCAATACTGCGACATGGACGTCGTTATATTTTTAACAATCGTAATATTTACAGTACTTTACAGTGTGCTCTGTATAATAGCCAAAATCTCCAAGTATTTGTGCAAGCAGCCGCGAACGTCCTCAAGAAATAAAAAACAAAAGTTTAGTTAACTATTTAACTAACGATAGGATATGTAGTTTTAAGTTAGTTTTGAAATCAAAGAAACTTTTATTTATAACTTTTTTTTTAACTGTTGTTAACGTATAATTTAACTTCCTTGAGTGTATGAGACGACATTTTTAAATTACAGAAAACAATATTTTTATGTTGGTTCTTTTTACTATTTATTAAATAACGTAGAATCTTGTTAACGTTTACGGCGATGTGATAAACGAACAATTTTCTCAAAGTTAGATAGTTTATGTATTATTAATTAACTTTATATCGTAAGAAATGTAAAATGTATGGGTGTGTATGATTGCATATAATATTAGAAACGTAATTTTTATTTTTGAAAAGTTACTTAAAGGTGAACCAGTATAAATAAGATGACTGCATTTCTCTATCTATTTTGTCCTTCAAAATATGATATATTTGGGGCTATATTTAGGGTATACACGTGTAAGTAATAGTTATTTCGGATAGCGTGTGTTCGATATTTATAGTTATTACTCTGGTCAGTTTGAAGTAGGAACAGTATTTGTAAAATCCATCGAATTAATTGTTTATTTGTCAGGGAATAAAGAAATCGCTTCGAGCGATTAAAATTCGGATAATAAATTTTTTTAACAATGGAAATAGAATCTTGAGTCCCTTCTCTCCATTTATTCCTTTAACAATTTCTCTCCTAATCTTTATATGTACTTGGTTTAAAAAGTAAAAAATGTTCTTATTTCATTTTTTTAACTATTACGTGTATATATAATACATGCGTAGTTGAAAATTTCAAGAAATAATCTCGACGATCATAGGCATCAAAGATCGTGCATTCAGTGATATGACCATGAACGTTACCAACGTTGGGTGTACTATACGTACGTATGTAATCTAGAGTAATCAAGAGCAATGCTTAACGTCATGGAATTGTGACTGACACCATTATTTACTGCCCTATTAACGTAATATTTCTCTGAAGCTCTTCGTTAAATTTATTTTCGATTGCGATTCGAATATAATTTCGTTGCATCATCAATCAACTCTAAAATGAGTGATGACTATGCATAAATTGAAACAGTTCCCTCCTCCCATTTATGCCTCCACCACCCAGGAGCAAACTTTTCTTTTATCAACATATATATCCCCCTCGATAAGCAACGGGTAAAGTTAGGCTCAAATGGTTGTATCGTTTATCACGCAATGTACAGACGTGTTGAATGATCGAAGCAACACGTACTACATGTATGTACATAAATGAAAGCTTGTTTCAATACAATAGTTAGCACTGCTACTATCATGATTCATCAATTACGTTTACAGATGGCAGTACCCACTGAATACGTTAATGTCATCGTACGAGAGTTGACAGGAAGATAGTGATGAAATAATGTTCAGTATTTAAGGGACCGCCTCTAGTAACGGTTCTGGTACGCAGAGCATCATGAAGTTCAACGTTGCGAGCGTGTTCTCTATCGCGTGTGTATTATGCGTTGTGAGACAACTTGAGTGTGCTAGGATTTTGGCAATAGTGCCGACGCCTTCGTACAGTCATCAAATTCCGTATCGACCACTGTGGATCGAATTGAATAAACGCGGCCACGAAGTCGTGCTCGTGACCGCCAATCCCATTCCCGATTTGAATCTGACTAACTTCACTCAAATTAATGTCGGAGAATCTTACACCGCCATCAGACAGCACAACTTTATCCAGTTAAGATTCGAACAAATGACCTGGTTAGATTTTGCATACAGCCATATGTGGGATATGGCTAACAACTTTCTTGAACCAGTGTTCAATAATACGGATGTGAAGAAGCTGTACGCGCCTAATAGTGGCAGAGAATTCGACATTGTCTTGGCTGAAGTGCTCTTCATGCCCGCTATAGGCGTCTTCGCTCATAGATTCAAAGTGCCAATGATAGGTAACGTATGACACTCTCTTTACCAAAATTACAGTACAATATCAAAGGATGCACGCCCATTTACATGTGCGATAAACTACGTAAATGTATTGGATGCAAGATAAAATACTATTACTGAAAACTTAATACATATGTATGTCCCTAGAACTCACTTCGCTTGGAATGGTTGGATTTAATGAACACATACTGGGTGGAATCGTTTTGCCTTCGCACGAGTCCACCTGGGAAATGGAAGCAAATACAGGACCAAACCTGCCATTTTCGAAGAGATTGCACAATTACGTGTCCTTGTGGCACAGTATATACGACGCTTATCGGAGACTGGTACCTAGTCAACAGAAGCTGGCTGAAAAGTACTTTGGAACAGGCTTACCATTGATAACTGACATATTGAAGGAGAAAACTAGCCTCGTTTTTGTCAATCAAGCTGATGCAATCGCACCAGCGCGACCAAAGCTCGCGAATATGATCACGTTCACTTCGTTTCACGTAGACGAAAAACCGAAACCTTTACCGCAAGTACGTTTCGTCGCGCACGAATCTAGAACTTAAGAAATTCAATTTCACTACAACATTAATTTTGTCCACAAGGTATCTAAAAAGAACTAAATGAATTTGTCAAGCACTAGCACATCGGTGTTGTTAGTTATTTAAATTTATCTCAATTTCTTCACACATCGAAAAGAAAGTAGTAAGAGTGATATCTTTTATTTTTCATTTAACCATTTTATTTGCTAAATAAAACAGAAAGTATAGCAAGTAGGGCGGAAATACGGCCTAACCGAAAATAATATATGCATCGCTAATTTCAGTTTTCTGATTGCAGGATTTAAAACGTTTCGTGGACAGTGCTTCGAAAGGATTCATCTATTTCAATCTCGGTAGCAACGCGATGAGCTCAGATTTGCCAAACGAAACTCTACAGGTTTTCTTGGATGTGTTTGCCAAGTTGCCTTACAAGGTCGTGTGGAAATTCGAAAAGGAATTGCCGGGAAAGCCGGACAACGTCTTCATTGGATCTTGGTTGCCGCAACAGAGCATCCTCGGTACGATCGAACGATCTCTCGATCGTCTTCGTGTCGAACAAAAATTATAAACTTTTGGATTTACAGCACACCCGAACCTCAAGCTCTATATATACCAGGGAGGTCTACAAAGTACCGAGGAAGCTGTGCATTTCACGGTACCCCTTTTAGGACTTCCGGTGTTGGCGGATCAGGACTATCAAGTGCGCAGAATGGAAGCACTCGGGGTCTGCAAAGTTTTAGAAATCACGACTATTCAGAGAGGTGAATTGGAAAGTGCCATTCGAGAGGTCATGACTGATAAAAAGTAAGTATATACATACGTGTGTGTGTGTGTGTGTGTGTGTGTGTACATATGTGTGGGCAACTTAAAAAAAACGAAAAAGAATTCATAATGGAGACTTTCTATTGCTTTGAAGGATGATTATAAAAAACACTTAATGACAATAATTTTATTTTAATTTTTTCAGATATAAGGAAAATATGATTCGACTGAAGGATACGGTTTATGACAGACCTTATAATTTAGTGGAGCACCTTGCTTGGTGGACGGAATTTGTGATTCGTCACGATGGAGCACCACACCTTCGTTCCAGCTTAGCTAAACAGCCATGGTATCAATATTGCGATATGGACATCGTAGTATTCTTGACGATCGTAGCATGTATAGTTATTGCAATCGCGTTCACAGTAATTATCAAATTTATCGGTTGTTTGCACAGCTTGTTAAGGCCAGGATTACCACAAAATCAGAAACAGAAGGTTAGTTAACGATGTAGAACAAATATGCAACATTGAATCAGTTATAATCGGCTGAAATCGCGTTTTAATATATTCTATAATATTTTAATGTTATTTAATTATAAAAAGTGATACGGGTCAGGAGTTTTGTAGTAACGAAGTATGCTGTTCAGAAATTGAAAATCTATATTTTTTATACGAGTGAATGTTTGTGAATGATCAATTGCAAAATCAATTATTTTTTATTACGAGTCTCGTACCAATTAATGTAAGATTTTCAGAAATAGCACTCTTTTTATATTTGCGACAGGACAAATGTTTGTAAATTCATAGGGCAATAAATGAACATTTTCAAGAAGAATATGTGTTTTCTGTTGTATTATACGAACATGTATAATTCAAATTCCTCGTGGAAAAAGACATCAAACGATTCTTTACCGTCTAGCGGTAATATTGAATGCTTTGCCCGTTTGATATGTTGCCAATCATGCGAGTGTATGATAATAAAGAAAACTATAATCCTTACCAACTTACTCCTACGTCTGTCGCTCGTACAATCATTTTGGAATTCGAGGCTTCGTTTTCAAGATACCAACAATTAAGGTTTCCACGTGCTTTAAGAAAGTTACATTACAATAAAAAGAGAATAATACTGGAACATTTATAATTGTCGATTATCACAAATACGGTTTACACAAAAATATTTCCCGACGCACAGTTCTCGGCAGCTTTGGTCACGTTTTAGTTCAGCACAAAAAGAAACATCAAAACGCAAATAATTGCCTTTTCAAACGTATTACATCACTGAAAAAAATTCCAAACCAAGTAACACGCGACCAGTTGAAGAATGATGAAGCATTTTCCATTTTTCCAAACACCCGTCTTACTGTATTTTTATTACGATAAGTGACACACGATTATGCAATTAGAAGCTGCTGTTATTTGTAGTTGTGGTGTCATCTAACTGGAGCACAATGACTTTACATTAACAACGTTTTTAATTAAAATTATCAGCGGATACGACAACGTAATCTGAATCGGATATATATATCTTTTACGCGATAGCGATTAAGAGGGGAGTAGCTTCATAACCGGCGCTCGTAATAGTTCAGTCGCGCTCGGTACCATGAAGTTCAATGTTGCAGCTATACTCTCGGTGGTGTGCGTCCTCTTTACTGTGAAGCAAATACAGTGTGTTAGGATCCTCGCGATCATCCCTACGCCTTCGTACAGCCACCAAATTCCCTTCCGACCATTATGGATAGAACTGAATAAACGCGGCCACGAAGTCGTTCTAATCACACCGAATCCCATCTCAAACCTGAATCTAACGAAATTCACACAAATCGACATCGGGGCATCTTATAAAGTTCTCAGAGATATCAATTTTGTGCATCATCGATTCGAACATGTTTCCTGCTTGAAATTCATAGAGGACAATCTATTTTCAATGGCCGAGGATATTACGCATCACGTGCTAAATCATACGGATGTGATAAAGTTGTACGCCCCTAACAGCAACGAACACTTTGACTTGATAATGACCGAACTTCTCATCACGCCAGCCATATACACCTTCGCTCATCGATTCAATGCTCCTTTAATAGGTATTGTTTCTTTCTACCGAACATATTAATCGTTTTTGTGGAAAATGATGGGGGCCATAAATCACGCATATTTTGTACGACCGTAGGACTTTCCTCGCTAGGAACAATTTCATTTAACAATCACATCCAAGGTGGACTCGTCTTACCTTCGCACGAGGCCACCTGGGAAATGGAAGACAACACAGGACCGAACCTGCCATTCTGGAAGAGACTGCAAAATTATGTGAATCTGTGGCACAATACGTACATTTTATACAATTACTTCATTCCCCTTCAACAGAAGCTGGCCGAACAGTATTTCGGACCGGATATACCGCCGTTACTTGACATACAGAAGAACGTCAGTGCCGTGTTTGTTAATGAGGCCGATGCCATGACACCAGCTCGACCAAAGCTCACAAACATGATCTCGTTCACTTCGTTCCATGTGGATCAAAACCCGAAACCACTCCCGAAGGTATTATACGTATAAGGAGATTTAAGTAATTCTGAATTACATAATTAGAATTTCACTTTTGCTTAATTTAACAAAAATTTGAAAATGAAAAAGTGTTATAATTGCATTAGATCTCATTGTCAGAAAAATGACAAAGACGTGTTGGCGAGGCTCGGTTATTAGGATTATATGTGTATATATATGTATATATGTATAACGTTGAGACCTAACTCGTGCCACCCAGCAGCAGAAATTGATGAGAATAGATCGTGATCATATAAGCGGACAAATTTTGTACCCACTATTCCGTCAATATTAACGAGCGACGACTATAGAAGAGACTGTAAACTGTGGGATATCCCCGAAGAACACTAAAGCACTATTGCTTTCCTTGAAGATAATTTTCTATAATTCTAAAATTACAGGAATTGAAGCATTTCGTCGATAACGCACGCGAGGGATTTATCTACTTTAGTCTTGGCAGCAATGCAAGAAGTTCAGATTTGCCGAAAGATACGTTACAAGTTTTTCTGGACGTGTTCGCCAAGTTGCCTTACAAAATCGTGTGGAAGTTCGAGAAGGACCTGCCAGGGAAACCGAAAAATGTATTCATCGGATCATGGTTTCCTCAACAGAGCATCCTCGGTACTGTAATAATTGTTTTAAGCAGCGATAGAAATTGTTCACCTTAATGATTGACGGAGATTTTGTTCCGCAGCCCATCCTAACATCAAATTGTTCATATACCAAGGAGGTCTACAGAGCAGCGAGGAAGCTGTACATTTCACTGTTCCGCTTCTAGGATTTCCTGTGATGGGAGATCAGCCATATCAAACTAAAAGAATGGAGACTCTTGGTGTAGGGAAACGTTTAGATCTTACTTCTGTCACGAGGGACGAGTTGGAAGGTGCAATCAAAGAAATCATAACTGATAAGCAGTACGTGTCATCCTGAATTATGGAAAATATTTTTTTCTACGCCAATCGGTGAATTTGTGCATTTCTATAACTCACTACAATAGAGCTTTAATAATGAAGAAAAATTCTAGAATGGGAATTAAAAATGGAGGGACAGAAATTCAAAAAATGAAGTTCATCTGTTAACTATATCGTATATTTCAGATATAAGAAGAAAATGATCGAACTCAAGGAAACCATTAATGACAGACCGTACGATTTAATGGAGCACCTTGCTTGGTGGACGGAATATGTGATCCGTCACAAAGGAGCCCCGCATCTACGAACCAGTTTAGCTAGACAACCATGGTACCAACGTCACGACATGGACATCATAGTATTCCTGACGACCGTAGCATCTATAATAGTTTTAATTAAGCTCATCACGACTGTCAAACTTGTCGTGTATTTAAACAAAAACAGTAAATCCATAAACCAAAAACACAAAATTAATTAGTCGTATAATAGTATTGTACGCGATATCAAATTAGCTTCAATTGCATGGAGAATGAAATGTTACGTGTTCTAGAGTAACGAGTGAATTATGTAATGTTGATAACGGAAGCAATACGCGTCAAGTGTTTCGTAATAACAAATCGCGATGACTTTTAGATACATATTGTTATTATTTATAACCGACAAATCGAATGTAATAAAACTATGTTCGAGCTATAATTAAATACTATGACACTATTCTTTACCTACATACAAACAAACGTCCCCACGAATGTCTCGTAAACTCGTCTAAATGTTTTTATCTAATTTTAATCTCCAGTGCTACTTAATAAAGCTTTGTCTAACATTACGATATATAGTGACGGTGCATATAATGTTAAAATTGTTGATTGTCTTTGCAATCACATGGTTACTGAACTTGCAGTTACTTATCATTAAAATTTCAGGGGATTTCACGTATTCGGTAATGATAATGCTAAGCTCTAGACGTCGCGTCTTCACATCCTTTTACGATATACAGCTCTGTCATTTATATCGAGTTGTTCATCGTTACTAGTCAATACAACACGAGCTATGCCCACAAATCACGAACGATTAAATAAGCCACGAGTAATAAAAAACATGATATAAGGAACACGCACCGCGCATGTGTAATTGGGAGTTGTTGTCACTTAAGGTTGCGATATCACTTGACTAGATATCATGACTTTGCAGTAAGGTATATAGATTAAACTATCATTGGTCACAAGCATCTGTTTAAAATAGACTCTTGGTGCAAGCCTGTTTCAAAGTTTAGTGTTTCTGTGACCGGCCTACACAGTGGATCATTCGCGGCGTGCACAATGAAGTTCAGTGTCGCGACCATACTTTTGGTGGTGTCTTTCCTTTTTGCCGCGAAGCAGATCCATTGCGCCAGGATCCTCGCGATCGTACCAACACCTTCGTACAGTCACCAAATTCCATTTCGACCATTATGGATCAATCTGAATAAGCACGGTCACGAAATTGTTTTCATCACCGCGAATCCTATCCCTAACCTGAATCTAACGAAATTCACCCAAATCGATGTCAGCTCGACCTACCCTGCTGTCAAAGAAATCAATTTCGTCCGCCTTCGATTCGAGCAGGTTTCTTGCCTGAAATTAATCGAGGACAATATCCTTCCAATAAGTGACAATGTAGTGGTAGACGTGCTGAATCATACGGATGTGAGAAAATTGTACGCGCCTAACAGCAACGAACATTTCGACCTGGTGATGATTGAAATGCTCATGATGCCAGCTCTGTATGCCTTTGCGCATAGGTTCAACGCGCCTCTGATAGGTAACTTTTTCAATAAAAAATTAACGATCGTTTAACGAGATGCGTATCTGGTTGTTCATCATCTTACGATCACAACACTTTGTACGATCACAGGTGTCACGACGCTAGGTATTACTACATTTAATGAGCACGTTTTCGGCGGGCCCATCCTGCCTTCGCACGAGGCCACCTGGGAAATGGACGCGAACACAGGACCAAACCTGCCATTCTGGAAGAGGCTGAAAAATTTTTGGGACTTGTGGCGCAGCGTGTACATCATTTACAATGAACTCGTTCCCCGTCATCAAAAAGTAGCCGAGAAGTATTTCGGACCTTTGCCGCCATTGCTCGACATACAAAAGAACATCAGTGTCGTGTTTGTCAATCAGGCTGAAGCTATGGTAGCGGCACGGCCTAAACTCCCGAACTTGATCACGTTTACCTCGTTCCACGTTGCTGATAATGTGAAACCACTGCCTCAGGTGCGTTTCATCGCGCTCGGATTATTGTTACCACGTCTGCACATGGAGATAACTATGTACAATTTTATGATCCCAGGATTTAAAACGATTCGTGGACGACGCGCGCCAGGGTTTCATCTACTTTAGTCTTGGTAGCAATGCAAGAAGTTCAGATTTACCCGAAGAAACCTTACAAGTTTTTCTCGACGTGTTCGCCAAGTTGCCTTACAAAGTCGTGTGGAAGTTTGAGAAGGATCTGCCAGGGAAATCGAAAAACGTATTCATCGGGTCATGGTTCACTCAACAGACCATCCTCGGTACTGCGATAATTGTTTTAAGCAGCGATAGAAATCGTACACCTTAATGATTGACGGAGATTTTGTTTTGCAGCCCATCCTAACATCAAGTTGTTCATATACCAAGGAGGTCTACAGAGCAGCGAGGAAGCTGTACATTTCACTGTTCCGCTTCTAGGAATTCCTGTGTTGGGAGATCAGATATATCAAACTGACAGAATGGAGACTCTTGGTGTAGGGAAACGTTTAGATCTTACTACTGTCACGAGAGACGAGTTGGAAGGTGCAATTAAAGAAATTATAAATAATAAAGAGTAAGTATAACCCGAGTGGCCGAGTATGCCTTTATACAAATGTATCTTTTTGCTTATTTCCGTGGATGCTATTAGGTTCTTTACAATTCTAAGCATATTTACTTATAACATAACAATTGCGTGATTGATATTAATACGACTAAACAAAACTGTCTATAACATATTATTGACCACGTGGTAGCAAAATAAGTTTCTAACTAATAAAAAATAAGTAATAATTTTATTTATTGATACACGAGATAAAACTACTAGTAAAATTGAAAGCTATTCGTACATATAAGCGTGATAGATAAGCGCGTATGAACACTTCTGTATGACATTCCAATTTCTGATACTATCTTTGTACGATGATGACTGTCAAGAATAAAAGATTAAAAGTTCACAGCCAAGTAATCGTAACTTTATCGATTTAATCATTCATGATAAAGTTTTCGTACAGACTACAACTATGTCGTGTTTTCCAGATATAAGAGAAAAATGATTGAACTCAAGGAGCTCGTTAACGACAGGCCCTACGATTTAATGGAGCATCTTGTTTGGTGGACGGAGTATGTGATTCGCCATAAAGGTGCCCCCCATCTTCGATCCAGTTTGGCCCACCAACCATGGTATCAACGTTACGACACGGACATTGTTATATTCTTAACGATTATAGGGTTTATAATAATTTCTAGCGTACTTAGTTTAATTGTCAAAGCTATCCTGTTTTTCTATACAAGGAGCCAGTCATGTTCCGCGAATCAGAAAAAAAAGGTTAATTAACAGTATAACAATACTCTACGGAATTAAAAATTAATAAAGAATGAAGTGTTGAGTGTTTTGGATGAAACCAAATACGTATGTAATGTAGTCGACGGACAAGTATTTTACTATTATCGTATCTCAAACAGTATAAGAACCTTAAAAGACTTTATCTAAGCAATTGTAACTTTTAGTATCACGTTTGCCATTGACATTGTCACTCCGAAATTCTAATATAATTACATATGTGTAAGTAAGAACTTAAAAAATTATAAATTATGTGATATTTATAGGGAATATGTAATTATTTAAAAATAAAAATGATTAATAATAATAAATAATCGTTGAATATTTTTCCTCGCGCAATAGTACATGCCAAACATGCATATCGATCTTTTGCAACGCGCGTCGATATAATGCATTTGACAGAAGTTAAGGTTGAACAAAGAAACAGATATCTCGCATGTCCGTAAATACTCAACTATCATGACTCGGAGATTACGATTCTGGATTGCATCGGCACTGATAATGCACGGTCATGATGCTCGTATCCCGTAAAATGACAACATCGGAACGTCTAGTAGTTCTACAACCGTTTCTAGCATCGGTTCGTTCGCGTGCATCGCGATGAAGTGTTCCGTCGCAACCATACTTTCTGTCGCGTGTGTCTTCTGTGTCGTGAAGCAACTACAATGCGCCAGGATCCTAGCAATAGTCCCGACGCCATCGTACAGTCATCAGATTCCTTATCGACCGTTATGGTTCGAACTGCACAAACGGGGCCACGAAATCGTCCTCGTCACTGCGAATCCTATTCCCGACTTGAATCTGACGAACTTCACTCAGATTAACGTTGCAGGATCTTACGCCGATTTAAGGCGAATCGAGTTCATCACCCTTCGCTTCCAACAGATGTCCTGGTTATCTTTCTTAGACCAGAATTTGTTGCATTTGTGTGACGTTTTTTCACATCAGGTATTCAATAACACGGAGATGAAGAAGATGTACGCTCCTAACAGTTCCACAAAATTTGATGTAGTGATGGCTGAGATGTTGTACATGCCCGCCATTTATGCATTTGCTCACAGATTTAACGCCCCCTTAATAGGTAATAGCACAAGTCGCGACAATAATTCTCACGTCCAGTCTAGGCATAGAACCAAAGAACTCTTAATTTTCCAATTGATTGAAACTGATTGAAATAATAGTTGGAGCCAAGTGATCATCGATTAAAACAACTACAACAGATTTGTATGACCGTAGGACTCAGCTCGCTGGGGATTCTTGCAATTAACGAACACGCTCTCGGTGGTTTCGTGCTGCCTTCGCACGAGTACACTTGGGAATTGGAAGCAAACACAGGATCGAACCTGTCATTCTGGAAAAGGTTGCAAAATTATGTGAACCTGTGGAGAAGTCTGTATTACATCTATCACGAGCACTTTCCCCATCATCAGACGCTAGCCGAAGGATACCTTGGAACGGATCTACCACCATTGCTAGACATACTGAAAAACACCAGTCTTATATTTGTCAATCAAGCTAATGTTATGACCCCAGCTCGACCGATGCTCGCGAATATGGTCACGTTTACGTCGTTCCACGTAGACGAAAAACCGAAACCCCTGCCGAAGGTAATCATTGTATATTAATCAAAGTCATCAGCACTGTCACTCATAAGTGGTCCAATCCGAAGAAGTAAAGTAATTATTGAAAGATGTAAAAGTAGATATCTATTCAGGAAAGGATAAAATGTTTAGATAAACCGTAAATAAAATCTTTGTAAACCGCTGATAAACGAGATAATGTTCACAAGTCCATAATCTACGTGAATCACTAGACTTTTAATTGCAGGATTTACAACGCTTCCTGGACAGCGCATCGGAAGGATTCATCTATTTCAGTCTCGGTAGCAACGCGATGAGCTCAGATATGCCAAGAGAAACTCTTCAGGTTTTCTTGGATGTATTTGCCAAGTTGCCTTACAAAGTCGTGTGGAAGTTTGAGAAGGAATGGTCAGATAAGCCGGACAATATCTATGTCAATCCATGGTTCTCTCAGCAGAGCATCCTCGGTACCGCTACACGCCTTTTCTTGGACGTATACGTCAGCGGCATAAATTATTGACTTGTTGCGATTAACCGAGACTTTGTTACACAGCACACCGAAACATCAAGCTGTTCATATACCAGGGAGGTCTACAAAGTTCCGAGGAGGCAGTGCATTTCACGGTACCCCTTTTAGGACTTCCGGTGTTGGCGGATCAGGACTATCAAGTGCGCAGAATGGAAGCACTCGGGGTCGGCAAGGTTTTAGAAATCACGACTATACAGAGAGACGAGTTGGAAAGTGCCATTCGAGAGATCATAACTGATAGAAAGTAAGTTTATACAGGGTGTTAAAATGTGGCAAAATTAAAAAGTTTCGAATCGTTCTGAAAAAATTATTTTCGGTTACGGGGATCGATTACAAATCATTTTTGGTGAATACACATACCCCCAAAATCCTACGCATTTTCGAGAAAAATCAAGACGAGTATATCCAAGAGTGATAGACAGAAGAAAAGAGATATTGAAAATCATGGAAGTCATCCTGTGGTTGAATAGTACTATTAGAATTAAATACAGGTTGGAAAAGAAATATCCTCCTCGAAGGAAGAATAATATGATAAGATGAGTAAGAGGAATAGGTACAATGTTGTGTAATTTTTGCTTAATCACGAGTTGCTTACCGAAACATCGATATGAACCATGATTCCGTCCGCGACAAAATTCGTTTCTCGATAGAATTACATTTGACGAACATTGTTTGAAAAGTGACTTGATAAAAGAGATAAAATTTCCATTGTTACAGCTACAAAAATTTTTATCTTGCCATTTTAAACACTGATGACGGCATATAGTTTTCAACACTCAAATGTTATAATTATTTCAGATATAAGGAAAATATGATTCGTCTCAAGAATACCGTCAATGACAACCCTTACAATTTAGTGGATCATCTAGCTTGGTGGACAGAATACGTGATTCGTCACGAAGGTGCCCCTCATCTTCGTTCCAACTTGGCTCACCAACCATGGTATCAACGTAGCGACATGGACATCGTGGCATTCTTGATACTCGCAACATGTCTACTAGTTTTAATCGCGTATAAAATATTTGCCAAAATCTTTGCGCATTTCGGCAATCAGGAATGCAGAGCATTTCCAGGAAATCAAAAGCAGAAAGTCAGTTAACCATGTGACGACAGGATATGCAACTTCAAAGTAATATCAATGAGTCAACGAAACAAGTTTCAACTGCACTGTATATTTGTAGTAATTAGTGAAAGATTAAATAAGGATTGATACAAAATTTCCTCGAAATCTCATGTGCTTGTAAATTTCGAGCAATCGCAAATAACGATAACAAGAATATTTTATTATAAAATACAATAATTGTATATTAATGCCACTGTGTAATTATTGTGGCCGGAAAATTGGGGTTGTTTGGATTGACAATGCGAGCTTGATAATTAGAAATTAATTATCGTATATTTTCGTTTGTGCGGCAGAAATTATTTGGGAACGAATGGCCCAGATTCGAGTGAATTTTGTCCCCGCGATACATATTTCAGTGTCCTTCGTTAAAATATATTGCCATTAATATGCCTTGTTGAATTAGATATCAGATCGATGTTAATCAAAATTGTTTTTATCGCTCGGCCAACAGGATACGTCATCAACGAGTTAAATGGAAACCGCAGAAAATTTATTAGGACGTTTCTGGGTTAATGAGTAGTCGACTTGCATCTGCGCTCGAGATATGCTATTTTCGAGTATGCAATGTAACCGCTTTGAAAATTTAATACGGCCGTGTAAAAGTTTGCATGATAGGTGCTTGCATCGAAAATAGCGACCAAAAAACATTTCACGACTAAAATTCTATATTTGTCTCTTATTTTTCCACTTTGTACAGTAAAATCATACGTTTCGGCTCTCGTTGATACAAGCTGATCGAAACAAAACTGCAACTCTTAATTTTGTTCATAAATAAACTGTAAATGTAAATATTTAGTAATCGATCCCATTTTATCGTCTATAATTTTAGCCCTGAAAAAATAAACATTTCCACGGGTTCAAGTTCTTTGGTAGCAGCTAGCAGTGAAAGCGTCGTTTTGAAACCTCAAAGGTACTTGCTAAACCCAAATTTGAAATTTAAAATACAGTTGCAACCGAACTAAAGGCTGACAGACAAACTATTCGTAACTAGGGATATTTGAAAAAGCGACGAAGGATAAAGGTACTGGCACGTTTGAACGATGAATAACTTTGGAGGGAAGGTGCACCGTCGATCAACAGTTTTACGATATCCGCAGGTTCCGATGCTCGATTCTTTCGATCTCTTAATTCCAAAACATTATTTGCCCATATCCCTGGCTGGCGATGTATTTCCTAGATATTTGTAAATAATAAGAATAAGAGAAAATCGCGCGCGTTGGAGGAACCGCGAAACCGTTTGTCACTCTGTAAGGGCACGTCTAAACAAGACGATCGGTGCTTGGACAAGAGCGAGTAGACTTTAAAGGACGCTCGACATCGATATTCGCAAGGCGGCTTCGCTTTGATGCTGGCTAGTCGACGATCAATAGATACGTTACGGGCAAACGGAAATCCTGGCGAGTACACGGATTCCGCAGCGGCGCGGCGCATTGAAATTCAGCGGCAGCGGGGCGTCGCGACGCTACCAGCCGATAGAGGCTGGAGGTGAAGTCGCGACGCCGCAATGAGGAAGTTCTTTTTCTCTATCGCTGGCCAGTCGTCGGACAAGGGGGTGGTCCAGCCGTTTGAATCCTCGAGAGTAAGGTCAGAAAGAAGGAGAGGAGGCGACGAACGGACGAGAAAGGATATCGGCTCGCTTCCCCCGGCTGAGAACTTTTTGATGCAGTTCTGCCGGATATACTCGAACGAAACTGCAACCGAGGAAACTCGAAAAGGTACCGGGGAGTCCCCTGTTCGGGGGTGGCCCCGCGGATCGTGCCATGCAAACTTGTATGCCTTGGCAAAAGCTCTCGCAGTGTTATCGATAGTACGTCTGATCTTGGTGGGTCCTCTCGTAAATAGTTAGGCGGCTGATGGAGCACGCTGGGATATTCGAGACACGAGCAGGAGAATTCGATATCCTCGGTTCGTTCATCTGAAACGGTAAGACAATTTCTCAACGACCGGGACTCTACCGGCAAGATAGATACAGGATCCTCGATCCCCGTTTTCGGAGATAATATTTACCGTTCGAACCAGTCGGATGTCCGCTCGGAACGTGGCTAACACCGACCTTTAATACCTTTAATACGATTCACGGCGACGTACGCGACCATTCCACGGTACGATGCAAATATAGAACCGCATTAGATCGCGATGATACGTCAAACGTCGCGACGGCCCGTTCGTTCTCGGCGTTTCAATTTTTCCCCGTTCGCGCGAGAGATTGCACTTTAAAAGAATCCGTTCGACGCGAATGCCTGGGCATCCGCGTTCCTTGAGAAACGACCTTTATCGTCTCTCCGAAGAACAAATCGCTCGTGTATTAGCGGAAAGTGATCCGACTGCTCCGCTGCTCGGGAAACGTAGATTACTTGGACTGAAAAATGATCGCTCTTAATCGTCACCACTCGATGGAACTGGATCCTGGAACTCGGGTTACAAACTGACCTCGAGCAGCGATCTGCAGCTACGAATTGCACAAACTGACGAAAATAGAAGAAATTACAAGGCATCTTTATATTTTCCGAGAAGAATGGGAAATCGGTTTTCAACCATCCAACGAGACACGCGAGTCACACTTTGGTCTCATAAGGAAGCAACAGTCCTAGTCCCAGTAGCTTTTCTCCGAGTTCTGCTGGTCTCTCCCAGCCTCTGCTGGCCTCTGCTGGCCTCTGCTGACCACCGCTTATATTTCTGACGACATATAACGATTACTACTGACTTCTGTCAACATCCGCTGGCCTCTGCTGACCGCTGCTGACCTTTCCTGGTATTTCTGACAACGTATAACGATTACGACTGGATACTGCTAGCCCTTCCCAACCTCTGCTGGCCTTTGCTGACCACCGCTTATGTTACTGACAACGCACAACGATTACTACTGACTTCTGCCAGCCAGTGCTGGCCTCTGCTGACCGCTACTGACCACTCCTGTTACTTCTGACAACGTATAACGATTACAACTTGCTATTGCCTGCCCCTGCTGGTCTCTGCTTGCCTCTGCTGTCCCCTGTGGCAGTGGCTGGCAGAAGTCAGTAGTAATCGTTATACGTTGCCAGAGATATAAGCGGTGGTCAGGAGGGGCCAACAGAGGCTGGGGAGGCTGGCAGTAGCTAGCAGTAATGGTTATACGTTGCCAGATGTATCGGAAGTGATATCTGAAATGATATACATATGTACTATCATACATAGGAATAATAAAAAAGAATTTATTTTTTTTCAATAATTCAAATATGATCAGGGGGTCTTAAAACGTAACTCCACGAGCTCGTCGGTGCTTTTCTGGCACCTCTTCTTACCAGGCACTCGTCCGGGCATTATCAGCTAACGGGACACGAGGCACGCTAGAACGTCCAAGTTAACATTAAAGGAGCCCAGTGAAAGCGTCGACTTCGTTAAAGCTTGTCGGGCGTTTCACGTTGCTTTTGTCCCGGTAATAGAGTATTAAGCAGTTGAGATCTGATAACACCATTCCTCCAAACAGTGTTCTGCCCTGCGAGACAAGTCGGATTTCAGTGTCGACGGAGACCCCGGACGATTCACGGCTGATTCACTGGAAGAATAAGGGTTTAAAAAGAGGACGGGCTTAATTTAAATGAGATTCTATCCAGCAACATTATCGATCTACCGTGTGAAAGCTGGAGCTTCGAAATACTTGTCGTTTCATTTGCATCCCCTACGAACCGAGGGAAACTTGACGAAGAAACAACAAACATAGAACCTCTTCTCTGTTCGATTCGTCGAGAGATCGATTAAAGAATAATAGCAAGGTGTTTTCGATGGCGTCGAAACAGTCATCAGTGTCCTTTTTGATGTTGTTAGGACGCTTCGTTATTTCCATTGTTTCCCAGTAGTTCCCAAGTAAAGTATCCCTTTGATTTTATCGAGTAGCTACGCTTTCAAAGGGATACGATTTACATCCGTAAAGCCTTAACGAGTATCCATTAGAAGAACCCAGAGCTGCGAAAACTTCGAGTGTCTCTTGAACGTCTCTACGTCTCCTATAAATTATAACTCACGATCAATGTCAGTGGTTTGGTCGTTCGCGAGAACGTAAACGAGAGACAATAACTGCGATATTTAGACAAAGATCGTTAAGCTCGGATCTGATTTCTAGTAGAACGATGCCATTAATGGTACTCGAAAATTGCTGTCATCGAAGTAACTAGGACCTTCTGGCATCGCGATCCAAGTTCTGGTACGAGGTCAACGGAAGTCAAGAGCGACTCGAGGGGCCGAGGGTCTCGGAGGGCCGATTTAAATGAGATTTTATCCGCGACGCTATTGATCACGTGGCCAGTGCAGCAGCGCAACGAGATACTTTAGAAACGTTCGTGATTTTCTTGGCGTTTCTAGTTCCTAGGAGAGAAACGACGAACCGTGGCCAACATCTGGGCGCAATCGCCGGACAAACTTTTCCTTCGACCGATACAAGTTCTCCGCCGTTTAACTAGTTTCATAGTTTATAAATATGTGGTCCGTCGCGGTGGCGTGCTGCAATTAAATTTCCTGCAGCTCTTGTTGCGCTCCCGAGGAATTTTCTGGTTTCTGCCCTCCCCTCCTACCGATGTCAAAATTTTTAAAGAGCTAGAAATTCTGACGCGCATCGATGGAGTTTCCGCGGGAATTACGGAGCTATGCGGTTCCCTCGCACAATCGTGAATAAAAAAAGAACCGCGGAAAAGTTGAATAGGAAAATTTCAAGTAGCCGATTCTCTACGAAAATTTCACGTTTCTCTGATCAACGTTCGAATCATTTACCAAGTATACTCGAGTTACAGTCTTTTATTCTTGGAATGCCTGACTTCTGACAACTCTACATTTATCCGAGTAGATTTTGAAAAGAATGGTAAACGCGATCGAATAACCGTAAACCTACGAATAAACAACCAGAGAAGAAAACAAGTCTTGACGAAACGCGTGTTTTATAGTCCTGAAAATGGTTACAGTGCATCGGTGCACGTGATTACGATCCCACCAATCCGTCCGAGTATTTAAAGAAAGTGTCGCCGGCATCGCGCTAACGTGACTATACGATTGGACGGGGCGAGAGCACACTTGATGCCTTGGAAAGAGAGGAGTTGGCGTTAGAATACGAGATAAGAATGCTTAAATCCGGGGAAACAAAGCGAGAAAGAAAGGAAAATGTACAGAATGCGATACTGAGAAGTTGGAACAAAGAGTAGAAGAGAGAAACTACGGGGAAAAAGATAAAAGTGGCGCTGGCTCAAAGAGGAGACCGGAGAAAAAGCGTGGCCGAAGTAGGACAGAAAGGGAACAGTTGCTGGCAGGGAAATAAGAGAGAAAAAGGAAGCTCGTGCAAAGAATAAAGCAGACTAAAGGAAAGAATACGATAAAGTAAAGAAGTGGAGCGAACGAAACATGCTAAAGAGTAATGGAGCAACGGAACTGCTGGAAAAGTAAATGAACTTGATCTACAACACGTAAGGGAATGTATGCATAGATTTCGTTAATTTAGTCGAGCTCGGAGTAAAAATTGATAGGAAAAGAAATGGTTGAATCTCTTCCCCCTGGTAGATGGTATCCCTTTGTTAGCCTCGAGTCTCTCTAAATCGTACCATCGATCACTGACAAAACGAGCCCTCG